ATATTTAAAAAGTGTATTTTTAGAAAAGAAAAACATAATTCACAATACTCCAGACAAATCCAAAAAAACAAGCTAAACTGACTGAATGGATCTGCAGGTTTGCAACTATACTCTAAGTAATTTAACTTTCGCATGCAGAGAATACATTAAGAGATCTCTTCTTATCTTTTGATTCCAAATTATCCTCAAAAAGACTCTTCTGGCTCCAAATGAATGTATTTAATTTTTAACCCTTTTTATAAAATTTCATATTCTTAAAATGTCTGATTGCACAAGTTTAAAAAGGTCCGATTTTGATTACATTTTCTGTGAGGGTTATCTAGGCTCCGCTAAATTAATCGTTGTAAACATGTAAGATAAGTGGGTGTTAAATCAATACAAAGTAGACATACTAAGTAAACATAGACGACATCGACTGAGCAGCTAGAAAAATATGAGATGAAATTTCTACGTGGAAGTAATTCCACACGGCTGCGGACGAGGAATTATATCGAACAGGTTACAAAAAAAAAACATAAAAATAATCTTTTTTTTTTTCAATCCAAAAGAAAGACACAAACACATGAATCAAATCCAAGTACCTGTTCCCGGCAAGGTTGGTCAAGAGCTCCTCCCCAGTCTCAAGATTAGTAACACTTCCCCTGCTCACAACAGAAATCACCATCAACAAACTTTTACCAAAATTCGTCGGGAGTAAAAAAGGGGAAGCTTTTTTACCCTTCCATCGGTGGGTAAATCGAGGTGAGCTTGTGGGCGACTCCGAGAGCATCGAGAGCTCGCCAGGCGTTAGTGAACAAGGAGAGCGCTGCGCCCGTGGTCCTGAGCCCGTCGGATCTCTCGAGCACGACGCTGCGAACGCCCAGCCTCTGCAGCGCCACCGCCGTCGCCAGGCCGGAGATCCCGCCGCCGACGATCACCACCTCTTGCTCCTCCGCCATTGAACTGGTTGCTCTCTCGAGGCTGAGACCCGAAGAGTTTGTTCATTTTGGGGATGGATTTTATAGAAAAGTCGGAGACTTTTGGAAGCGCCGGCCGATTATAATAAGATTAAGAGAACGCGACGGTGTTGGCTGGTTTGTGTCTTTGTGAATGGGAAGTAAGTTCATTTTGGTAGCCACGGATTAATATATTGTGGAAGCTCTACGCTTCTTGCATTGAATTGATCGAATAAGTTCTGATCTTCTTCTTTGATAAAAAAAAAAAAAGTTCTGATCTTCTTAGGGTCCTTTGTTTTGATTTTTTTGAAGGCTTTCTTGCAAAAACGTTTTTTTAGAGGCGTTTTTACAAGAAAGTCTGTCAAAACTGATAAAAACTGTCAGTTTTGACAGCTTTCACACCACTTTCCTCTTCAAAAAAATCAAAACAAACGGGTCCTTAGCATTGTAATAAAAGGAACTATCAAAATAATTATCGAAGTAATTATTTTGATACAAGAAGCTACCAAAATAATCCGTGGCTATCAAAACGCTACAATATTCATGCTACAGTAAATACTACAACCGTGACATTATTACTGTAGCAAACATAAAACTGGACACTGTGGTTTTCTGAAAAAATACCACTGTTGCACACGGGAACACTGTAGCAGAGACATGATGCTGTAGCCATCCAAAAAATTACTGCATCAGTTAAACCTGGGATTACTGTAGCAGGAAAAAAATACGTCGTGCTATGCACGACGTTCACACTAGTTATTTTGATACAAGAAGCTACCAAAATAATCCGTGGCTGCTAAAATAATTATCTTATTCCGATAAACGTAAATTTTAGAGAATGATTTTTTATAATATACCAAAATTTAAAAGGCATACGAATGAAAAATCGATGATATATATCAATTTTCCCAAACACATGCACCCTTTTAGAAATGAATTCAAGTTGTTCATGTTTAGATCCCCTTTTAGCTTTATCATTAATCAATTACTTGTGTACGTTCCCTAATCCTTCTTGACTAACTGTTTACACACGGTGAACAATTTCATTGCTTCTTTAGCGAGATATTTTGATCGTAGTATCTCTGTATTCTGTCTTCAACTTCGCTAAAAATGTAGACTTCGCAGTTTGTTTTATGCTTTCTTCCGTATACCTATCATCCTTTGTATAGTCTCTTTGTCAAATACGTATTTGTTCAGTTTTATACAAAGTTATACGGAGCGGGCACGTGCAGTGCACGTGCCGGCCTAGCTAGTAGTAAGAAAAGAAAAGCATCTCTCAATATGATTAGAGGAATTTTAACGGCATATGTCGCTCGTGATTCGATTAGCATCTCTGATTTCTTTATGGTGCACTCCGCGAGGTTCTTTTGTTGCTTTGTTTTGACCTTTTTGTCATTTTTCTTAGACTATTTTTCGCGTTCACATGCAAAGCACCAATTATCGTCGCTAAACGGCTGTTTGGTTCCTGTTTTTTTGGTGGTAAAAGTAGGGAAAACTGTCAAAAATATCAGTTTTTTTACGGTTTTCCCCCAAAATCACCTCTTAAAAAGGTGATTTTGGGGAAAGCTGCCAAAAAACTGATATTTTTACAGCTTTCTTCTTTTTTACCACCCAAAAAAACCAACCCAAACAGCCCCTAAGCTTTAATAGTACTGGTCTAACTTATAGGCATCTTAAGAAGCGAGTTTAGTGAATTATTAAGAGGGTTTTCTATAGCACAATGAATAATTAGTGAGCGTTGTTGAATATTCAATGTTGTAATTCACTCCAAAAAGAAAAGCTATAAGGCTTTTTTCCCCCTTTTTTCCTTTTTTTCCTTTTTAGCGCGAGTAATCTAGCTCAATACCAGTTGTTGATGACTAAGATCACACAGTCAATTGAATCCAAAAAAAGATCGGTTTTGCTCTGTATTGAAGATGGGTCGTTTTCTTCCCTGACTTTATATCTAGTTATTGAATTGGGGTTTTGAACAATCTGCACGTGTAGAAATTCGTGAGAGGGCGGAGATTGATTCCCCCGTTGTACCTCCAACGATCAAGTTAGTTGATAAGCTTGATGGAAAAATAAGAACTATCCGTTCTTATAATTATACAATATGTATGTCAGGAGGTCCGATTTTCGAATCCTCCATATGTTCGAATAGTACATGTATTTATACTCGGAGTATAAGGGGTTGATTGGTCACTTTGGCCGAGCACAGTGGGACGGTGGCGAAGTGTGGGCTGGTAGTTGAGTCAGGTTTTGCTTTACAGGTGTCGGCTGGCGACTGGATGGTAGATCACTTCGGCATTAAATGGGAAGTGATCGGCGACATGGCAGAGCCCACCTGATCCGATGAGTCATGAAGACTATCAGAGCTAGATGCATGATGCTCCTGACATGCATTAAATGAGATGTGGACATGTTGCAAGTGTGGATAGCTTCGCCGAGAAGTAACGCCTTGCAAATCTTGGTAATCTTGTGACAAAATCCATTGAAATCTTTTCCCACTTCCACATTGGTATGTCGAGATTTTGAGTTAATCTAGCTGGCCTCTGATGCTTTGCTTTTACTTGCTGACATATTTCACACTCTGAAACATATTTGCTAATATATCTCTTCATATTATTCCACCAGTATATCTCTTTTAAATCTTTATACATTTTGGTTCCACCAGGATGCATTGTATACCCAGAACGATGAGCCTTCTTCAAAATCTTCTTCTTTAATTCTGGATTATTCGGAACACATAGTCGATTTCAGAACCTAAGGGATCTGTCACAGTGTATTACAAAATCTGGTTGTTTACTATCCCTGACTCTTTTCGGAATGGCCTCCAAACCCAAGACATCTTTTTGGGTAATCTTAATCTCATCAACTAGAGCAGACTGTACCTGGATGTTATTCAATTCGGTCGATGGTTGTTGACATCGGATCTCAATTCTCAATTGATCAAAATCTTTTAAAATATGCCTTTGTTGAGTAATGAGACAAGCTATATTACTCTTTCGACAAAGGATATCAACACGTACTACCTTCTTGCTCACGAAAAATTTAGAATATAAAATAAGTATACTATACTAGTTCACTCCAAAAAGAAAAGCTATAAGACTTTTTTTTTCCTTTTTTTCGTTTTTCCTTTTTCTTTTTAGCGCGAGGAATCTAGCTCAATACCAGTCAAGTAAACTCTAGCACAAGCATTACAGTGCATACTTATTAGAAATTGGAGATATACATGCCATAAACATAAATCGACCTACGAGCCTGCCAATCAATCGATCAGAAATATTTATTCGTTCGTTACAAGCCGTATTAGGTAGGTATGAACGACGACAGTAGATGCGAATTCAAGCAAGTTGGCCTTTTGTGCCAAAGTCCCAATTCCCAATAAATATATAATAACTTTATTATAGTTGCTATAGTATGTACTTATGTAGTATAATGCGACAAGTCCGTGTATTGGCAATAAAGCTGGAATCAATATTGAATTCGTGAGAGGGCGGAGATTGATTCCCCCGTTGTACCTCAAACGATCAAGTTAGTTGACAAGCTTGATGGAAAAATAAGAACTATCTGTTCTTATAATCATACAATATGTATGTCAGGGGGTCCGATTTTCGAATCCTCCATATGTTCGAATAGTACATGTATTTATACTCGGAGTATAAGGGGTTGATTGGTCACTTTGGCCGAGCACAGTGGGGCGGTGGCGAAGTGTGGGCTGGTAGTTGAGTCAGGTTTTGCTTTACAGGTGTCGGCTGGCGACTGGATGGTAGATCACTTCGGCATTAAATGGGAAGTGATCGGCGACATGGCAGAGCCCACCTGATCCGATGAGTCATGAAGACTATCAGAGCTAGATGCATGATGCTCCTGACATGCATTAAATGAGATGTGGACATGTTGCAAGTGTGGATAGCTTCGCCGAGAAGTAACGCCTTGCAAATCTTGGTAATCTTGTGACAAAATCCATTGAAATCTTTTCCCACTTCCACATTGGTATGTCGAGATTTTGAGTTAATCTAGCTGGCCTCTGATGCTTTGCTTTTACTTGCTGACATATTTCACACTCTGAAACATATTTGCTAATATATCTCTTCATATTATTCCACCAGTATATCTCTTTTAAATCTTTATACATTTTGGTTCCACCAGGATGCATTGTATACCCAGAACGATGAGCCTTCTTCAAAATCTTCTTCTTCAATTCTGGATTATTCGGAACACATAGTCGATTTCAGAACCTAAGGGATCTGTCACAGTGTATTACAAAATCTGGTTGTTTACTATCCTTGACTCTTTTCGGAATGGCCTCCAAACCCAAGACATCTTTTTGGGTAATCTTAATCTCATCAACTAGAGCAGACTGTACCTGGATGTTATTCAATTCGGCCGATGGTTGTTGACATCGGATCTCAATTCTCAATTGATCAAAATCTTTTAAAATATGCCTTTGTTGAGTAATGAGACAAGCTATATTACTCTTTCGACAAAGGATATCAACACGTACTACCTTCTTGCTCACGAAAAATTTAGAATATAAAATAAGTATACTATACTAGTTCACTCCAAAAAGAAAAGCTATAAGACTTTTTTTTTTCCTTTTTTTCGTTTTTCCTTTTTCTTTTTAGCGCGAGGAATCTAGCTCAATACCAGTCAAGTAAACTCTAGCACAAGCATTACAGTGCATACTTATTAGAAATTGGAGATATACATGCCATAAACATAAATCGACCTACGAGCCTGCCAATCAATCGATCAGAAATATTTATTCGTTCGTTACAATCCGTATTAGGTAGGGATGAACGACGACAGTAGATGCGAATTCAAGCAAGTTGGCCTTTTGTGCCAAAGTCCCAATTCCCAATAAATATATAATAACTTTATTATAGTTGCTATAGTATGTACTTATGTAGTATAATGCGACAAGTCCGTGTATTGGCAATAAAGCTGGAATCAATATTGAATTCGTGAGAGGGCGGAGATTGATTCCCCCGTTGTACCTCAAACGATCAAGTTAGTTGATAAGCTTGATGGAAAAATAAGAACTATCTGTTCTTATAATCATACAATATGTATGTCAGGAGGTCCGATTTTCGAATCCTCCATATGTTCGAATAGTACATGTATTTATACTCGGAGTATAAGGGGTTGATTGGTCACTTTGGCCGAGCACAGTGGGGCGGTGGTGAAGTGTGGGCTGGTAGTTGAGTCAGCTTTTACTTTACAGGTGTCGACTGGCGACTGGATGGTAGATACTTCAGCATTAAATGGGAAGTGATCGGCGACATGGCAGAGCCCACCTGATCCGATGAGTCATGAAGACTATTAGAGCTAGATGCATGATGCTCCTGACATGCATTAAATGAGATGCAGACATGTTGCAAGTGTGGATAGCTTCGCCGAGAAGTAACGCCTTGCAAATCTTGGTAATCCTGTGACAAAATCCATTGAAATCTTTTCCCACTTCCACATTGGTATGTCGAGATTTTGAGTTAATCCAGCTGGCCTCTGATGCTTTGCTTTTACTTGCTGACATATTTCACACTCTGAAACATATTTGCTAATATATCTCTTCATATTATTCCACCAGTATATCTCTTTTAAATCTTTATACATTTTGGTTCCACCAGGATGCATTGTATACCCAGAACGATGAGCCTTCTTCAAAATCTTCTTCTTCAATTCTGGATTATTCGGAACACATAGTCGATTTCAGACTAAGGGATCTGTCACAGTGTATTACAAAATCTGGTTGTTTACTATCCCTGACTCTTTTCGGAATGGCCTCCAAACCCAAGTCATCTTTTTGGGTAATCTTAATCTCATCAACCAGAGGAGACTGTACTTGGATGTTATTCAATTCGGCCGATGGTTGTTGACATCGGATCTCAATTCTCAATCGATCCAAATCTTTTAATATATGTCTTTGTTGAGTAATGAGACAAGTTATATTACTCTTTCGACAAAGGATATCAACACGTACTACCTTCTTGCTCACGAAAAAATTTAGAATATAAAATAAGTATACTATACTAGTTCACTCCAAAAAGAAAAGCTATAAGACTTTTTTTTTTCCTTTTTTCCTTTTTCCTTTTTCTTTTTAGCGCGAGGAATCTAGCTCAATACAAGTCAAGTAAACTTTAGCACAAGCATTACAGTGCATACTTATTAGAAATTGGAGATATACATGCCATAAACATAAATCGACCTACGAGCCTGCCAATCAATCGATCAGAAATATTTATTCGTTCGTTACAATCCGTATTAGGTAGGGATGAACGACGACAGTAGATGCGAATTCAAGCAAGTTGGCCTTTTGTGCCAAAGTCCCAATTCCCAATAAATATATAAGAACTTTAATATAGTTGCTATAGTATGTACTTATGTAGTATAAGACGACAAGTCAGTGTATTGGCAATAAAGCTGGAATCAATATTGGTTTAGCTAATATTTGTGATGTTATTTACTAGGTTCTCCAATAAGGTAAATATCCAATTCTCTGCATCCCTTAAACAATTGATGATCCAAAAGCAATTAATTTAAATAAATACATTCTATAGAAGATTTATCTCTTTAAAGCACCAAATGTACAGCGCATGAGTACACTAATGTATTTGCCTTCCCGATAACAGCCGTATCCTCATATAAATGTTTGCTTTATTTGGCAACTGTGAAAAAAAGGGCAAGAACTAAGGGATGGTCTAAAACAGAAAGAAAATAATTTATACATTAATATATGATGAAAAATTCATTTGGGCCCCCAAATCATGGGACCCAAGGGGGACGGATGATGTGTCAACCCCTGGGTGCATGATCTACTGTTCATGAATAGTAGATCATGCACCCAGGGGTTGACACCTCACCTGTCTCCTTTGGGTCCTATGATTTGGGGTCCCCACAGAACAACTCATACATGATTATAGATTCTTATCCTTAAAACATTAGCAGTCTAGCGCACAATTTACTTACATATATACACTCGACAAAGTGGGAAAGCAAAAACACGGCAAGAAACGAAAACAATGCTCCACTCTACATCCGTCTTCTAGAAATTACTAATGATCCAAAAAAAAAACCCATAAGTTATGGTCCATCATTAGATGCATTTTCTCCTCCAAAATCGTACGTTACCCATTATGAAATGAATTTAGATCCTCTACTTATGCATAGTGTTTCCTAATATTTGCTAATGCATCTCCACCTTTCATTTTGTGGACCCCACCTTTCACTTTGTACTTGTCCACAAAATGAAAGGTGGAGATGCATTAGCAAGTATTAGGAGGTACTATGCATGAGTAGAGGATCTTAATTCTTATGAAATACACTTAGGCCCCGTTTGGTTCCGATTTTTGGATGGGTAAAAAGAGAGAAAGCTGTAAAAAATGTTAGTTTTTTTGCAGCTTTCCCCCAAAATTAACTCTATAAGAGGCGATTTTGGGGGAAAGCTGCTAAAAAACTGACATTTTTAGCAGCTTTCTCCTCTTTTACCAATCCAAAAAACCAATCCAAATAGCCCCTTAATATTTCCTCCTTTCTGCATCCATATACTAAATATTAATTTTTTTTAATACTCTCTAGATTTATTTATTCAGCAAATCTTAATAAATACACACTATCCTAAAGGGTATAACTTCTCACTTTCTTTCGGAAAGGAATTCGGTGCGTTGCTTTTTTCCTGGCCCAAGTGTGAAAGCAAAAACGAGAAGCGAAAGGAACTAATCCAGAACTAATGACAACGGTGGTGGGCCCCAAACGCTTCCTTGTGAACGTGTGTTCGGCACAACCTATATAGAGGGACACGCCAGCCTCTGAAGGCCCTCGAAAAAAAAAGTGAAAAGGAGGGTATCGACGTCTGAAGGGCCCCCGGTCCCGTCCAATCCCCATTTCGGTTATTTTTGCTCGATCGCTTCGATGTCGAACCGATTCCTTCCCTTTTTCTCTCTCACTCTCCTCCTCCTCTCTCCGGCTTCCTCCTCCTCCCCCTCGTCGATGGCTCCCTCGAAACCTTTTGGTACCTAAAAAAACCTCCGTTTCCTCTCGCTCTCTTTTTTCAGTTGGTTTAATCCTGCCATATGACGAAATTGTTTTCGGGGTTTTTACAGCCGTAAAAGAGGAGGAGATGACGCCGTTACAGAAGCACGTGGCTTTCTTCGACAGGAACAACGACGGACTCATCTATCCTAACGAAACTTACCAAGGTTCGCGAGTTCCATATTATTATTATTATTATTATTATTATTTATTTATTCGTCGATCCGCGTGCGGAGAAATTTTTTTTAAATTTAATGGCCGATTAATTTAATGCTTTTTTTAATTGAGATCTGAAAAGAATTTTTTTTTTTTTTTTTTTGGTTTTGTGTGGTTGCTTGCTGCTGTGGCAAGTTTTTAGTGTTTTAATTGTTGGTGGGGTTTGCAAGTAATGGTGGGTTGAAAGAAACATATATAAAAACATTATTGCTTCTACTTTTTGGTGTCAGCGAATAAATAGAATGGGAAATTGACAGTCATAAGGTCATGTTTGGCTAAATTAAGTTTAAAGAGAAAAGTTTGAAAAGAGAGAGAGAAAAAAAATATTTTTGATTCCGATAACACTTTTAGTATTGCTTGACAAGGGGTTTAAGTGGCGGGTTAAGGAGAGTTTTTTTTTAAGAAAGAAATTGTGAGGTATTATTAACCTCCCAGCGTTTCATTAAAAAGCACTTAACGAAGCTTATCAGTTGTAAAAGGTATAGACATATGAAAATATAAATACATTCGAAATAAAAGGGAGTTAACACTCAAATGCAACGAAACTACGTGGAATAAGAGGAGTAAACTCGTTTTGTATTTTCAAGTGTAACTATGCAAAAGGGTTAAGATGACCGGTCAGTGGTGGGTCCAGGATTTTTGAAAAGTGGTGTGACTACGTACTTAAGAGTTTAGTTACGGACAGGCCCAGTTACTATCGCCATATTGAGCTTGCTACTGTAATCCTATTGTTGCAGATAGGCTCCCCGAGTGAAACTTTTTTTTTACCTTTTTTGGGGGGCTATTTGCAACAGTATAACGCATTCAGGGGGTTAATCTGTAACAACAGAGCTATAAGGATAAGATGGTCTGGTCAATTTGCTTATTGTACCAGGGTCTATCTGCAATTAACGCTAGCTAATAAATAAAACACTACAGAGATTAACTTGACACTGCTTTGGCTGTTTAGTGGACCAAGTTTGCTCATGATAAAAAATAAGAATTGCATATATGTTAGAAAACATAGATGCTTAGTGGACCAAATTTCCTGTAGGTTTTGGATGAGTTTTGGATAAGCAAAGTGGTGTGACTTGACACCCCTTTGGCTCACATGCCAGGCCGGGCTTCGGGCCGACTCGGTTTTTTTTTTAATTTTTTTGGTAAAAAATTGTCAAAAAATTAGATTAATCTTATTATATTTATATAAGTATGTATTAGTATATACTTGCATATTATTATATAGCCATATATTATATATACATATATTATATGTAAATATAATGTATATAATTATAAGTTATAACTTATAACTTGAGAGAGAGAGAGAGAGAATCACATAAGTATATATTACTTATTTATAAATATGTATTACATAGTTCTATATGCATTTGTTACATACTTACATTATGCTTATTTAAGTACAATTATACACTTTAGTTATGTGATATACTTTTATATATACTAGATGCAATATACTTATATGTAATTATACTTATGTAGTTATATATACTTGTATAACTGTAATTCTATAATATACACATATAAGTATACTTATAACTACATTATATATATATATATATATATATATATATATATATATATATAATATATATATCATCCTTATATACTTAGTAATTATACCCATGGGCTAAGTATGTGGTGTATGTAGTGTGTGTGTGTGTATAATATAGTATACTTGTATACTTACAAATATCTGAATATGGTGTATTAGATGTAGAGATACGTAGTAGTATGATAGATTGTGTGTGTGTGTGTGCTGTGGTGTATATATTATATATACTATATATATATATATGATATATAGAATATATATATATATAATATATATATATAATATATAATGATATACTATGTGTGTGTGTGTGTGGTGTGTGTGTGTGTATGTGTGTGTGTGTACTTGCGTACTTAAATATATACAACTATATTACACTTAGGACTTACGATGTTCCACGACCCATTTTTCCTCAAGAAAACCATCATACACTTAGGAATATATATATAGTATATATCATATATATATATATAATATATATACTAATATATATATATATATATATATATATATAATATATATAGTATATATATATATATATATATATATATACTGTGTGTGTGTGTGTGTGTGTGTGTGTGTGTGTGTGTGTGTGTTATATACAAACTTAGAAATATATATATATAATATATACTATTGTGTATGTGTGTGTGTGCGCGCATGGTCAGCTTGCGTACTAAATATAAATACCAACTATATTACTTAAGGAACTTAGCGATGTTATGGCCAATTTCCTCAGAAAACCATAATACACTTAAGACATATAATATAATATAATATATATATATAAATATATATATATAGAGCCAAAAAACTTCTGTCACTAAGTGGGACGTCCACTAAGTTTCTTATCCATTATGATTACTTGATTGAGCTACATGTGGATGATCCGTCCGTTAAACTTAATCAACATATTCCTAAAACCCAACACACCAAAATTTGGTGTGAACTCGTGTGGTTTGACCTTCCCGTCGAGAGCCACTGTAAAAGTTCCTATTCACGTCGAAACCGTTAAAATTGATACGCAGTGGAATGAAAGGGCAAACTGACGGTTCACCGACAAATTTGTGTGTTGGGTTTAGAATATGTAGATGCAAGTTGAACGGAACGGATCCAATCGCACAATGTAGCTGCAATTCAAGTGATCACAATAGGATAAGAAACTTAGTGACGTCACTTAAGTTGACAGAAAGTTTGGCTGCTATATATATATAGTATATATTATATATATAAGTATAATATATATATATATATATATATATATATATACACAATATACATATATAACAATATAATAACGGGGCTAGGACGGGCTCGGATCTGGCTTCACCAAGACAACCCGGGCCCTGGCCCGAGCCCAGAGCATGGTCGGCCCGGGTTTTCTGGGCTTGTCCTAGGCTCGGGCAGGGCCCGGGTCTTGGGCCCGAATGGTCACCCCTACTCATATGGATATGACCCTGCTTAAAGTGAAGAGTTTATTAGTCCACCTATTCACATAGATTAAGGGTCTCTATTCCTAAACACTAAAAAAGAGCGTATTGATTAAATAAATCTTACTTAATGGCTAATATTCCTATTTTGATGTTTTAAGCCTATCCATTTCCTTATTGATCAAATGTTTTATTTGGATTTTATTTTGGGAATGTAAAATGACTTATTATAAACCTCAATCAAAAGAAGCCTAAAGAATTTGATTTTTGGGTCTTAATGATATGGTAATATGTCTTCTTCTGTAGTTGGTATGGTATAGGTTAGGCTGTTATGACAATGAGGTTAAGGATAGAACGGAAAAGGCAAGGAACCATGTGACTTGTGGATCATGACCTACATACAATTTTCCATCTGGGATTCATAGCCTAATTTCCACTTGTATTTTTGATATATAAATCTTTAGAGTGGATATTATAAAGTCAAGTCTAGGTTTCTTGTAGGTATTCCTGATGTGATTAATTATAGGTCCAATATGTGTTCCTTGGCTAAAATTGTATTTTCTTCCTATGTGGACTGCAATGCTACTTTCTATCGTATATCATTATTTGACATGCTCTTGAACTTTCAACATCCTTATCATGAATCAGTGCTGATCTTCTTACGATATATAGAATTTCTCTTCTATTTCATGGATATTTTATGATCACATAGAACTCTGGGAGCACTTACTTCAGTTTAACCATTTGGTTTTGAGTTGATAATGTATATCTTTTCCAACCTCACTATCCTTTTCTTGAAGGCCGGTTTGTACAATGCACTCATTATTTTCCACAGTAAATATGCACAATGCAATCGTATATAATGTACAATGACTCATTATTTTTCACAATATATGAGTGTTGTTACCTTATGTCTTGCATGTGACATCATGGTTTAACTACATCTCACACATGTCACATCTTTTTCCTTTTAGATCATATGATATCTATGTTGCTTAGGCACTTCTATCATGAAGCCATACCCATTACCGATACATATGATGCTCATAGAGAACACAAACACTCCTTGTGCATACACACATTTAGCCAAACGTGTACTCAATTGTATATGCATGTTTTAATTTAAAATACTTGTCAACACTTCTTGGACATATATCCTACACTTCACGTCCACTTTCTAAAATGTGTTCGATATAGAACTCGTTGGACATGGAACATGTTCATTTCAATCCATATCCAGTTTGGAATTATGACTTAGAGTGTTGGATATCTATTAAACTATGAGTGGTTTTCCAATTTATAAATCTATATGAGAAAAAGAAACATAAAAATGTTATTGGTATTTTTTGAAATTTTCTCATTTCTAATCAAATAGTGTATGGAACTTCATCCATTATAGCGTAATGAATGAGGGCTATGATACCGAACCAAGTGAATCAGGGTCTACTCATTCTCATCATGGATATAGCAGGGAGCTTATAACAAGAATGATATAAAAGTCGTGTGGTCTTTTGCTCATTATCCGTACATCCACAGAGGGTTATAATTTTTTCTTGTCATTGGTCAAGGATGTTTATGACATTGAACTGAGATGGAGTTGTTTGGTATTTTCTACTGGTCAGTGTGTAACCTAGATGGTTTACTATTTAAAAATCAACAGCAAACTAGTCCGTCCGTGTAGCAAAGGAGGATTATGGCACTAGGTCATGAAAGCTTTTCAGGCCTAGGTGGACATCCAATGGATCCCTTATGTTTCTCTCCTAATTAATATATAGTTTAGAATCAGGGTTTTCCACATCAGATCCAACGTTCGTAGAGATTCAAAAATCTGGATTAACATGACTTGTCAATGAACTTGGGTAGCGTCAGTTGCATAAATTTTTACGACCTCTGCTTCTTATGTTTCTCTTCTTCTCAGATTCGGGCCGATACTATATTTGGGTGATTGCTGTGGTTTTGTGGATATTCTTTATTAACTTCCGTTTGAACTAGGAGGATGAAAAAGAAACAGTTGAAGCTAATACATTTAGCAATCATTATGTTCGTAAACTTCAGATGTTTGTTTGTAATATAAGACTAAAACTAAAGGTCAACGTAATTCTCTCTCTGGATTTGGAGGCCTATTCAGCAAGTTTTAACGGTATAAATATTGCTAACCTATGTTTCTTTGTAGACATATTCTAATGTTTAATTCGTATTTTGTACGTGCAGGGAACTTTCACATCTCCCCTTCTTCCCATTTATGTAAAAAATATCAAGAAAGGCAAGCATACTAGTGATTCTGGCGTTTATGACTCCGAGGGGAGGTAAGTTTACATAAATTAGTAGTTCAGAAGGATTTTCCCTGCTAAAAAGTTATATTGTCAGTTTAGAATAAATTGGATATTTACCATCTTCATTTCTGATATGAGGAAATAAATTGATCTGATTTTGTCTATATGAAATTTTAGTCGCTGCATATCAGTTGTATAAGGAACCTAGTACTGTATATTGAATATATATGCTTTATATGAAATTTTAGTCGCTGCTTATCAGCTGTATAAGGAACCTAGAATTGCATATTGAATATATATGCTTTCTATCCGTCAAAACTGTGTGAATAATTTAATATTGGCCTTTGAATTCTCTATTGGCGAAATGAAACATTCAAAACAGCCAAAACAGGGAACCTTTGGCAAGTCCTGTAATACCAGTAAGAAAAAGTTGAGATATATTGATGATTAGACAATATTAACTAAGGCTTCCCTTGGACTAAATGAAGGTACGCTCACTTTTAATATTAACAGACAATATTAACAGACAATGATTAGCCAAAACAGACAATATTAACATTTGGAACATTCACGTTCCAAAGTAAAGGGTGCCCTCACTTTTAATAGGATTTCATCATACTAAGCAAATTTGAATTAACAAACAAACCCTATTAAACTATTAAGTGATAAATATGAAAATTCTAATATTATATAAAACATTTCATGGATTTAGTAAAGCTCACAGTAAATTATATACCAACTTACTGTTGTAATAGTCGATCATAACACAATCTTAAACTAACTGATTTATAGGTGCAGAATTTTTTAATAAAAAGTTGCAGAGGAGATGGATAGAAAAATTGGTATAGGTACCTTAATGAGAAAACTGTAAACTGTTTCTCCTCACATGTCATCGTCACTAAATTGATATAAATAATTGTTGGCTGATGTATGCATGCATTAAGAGAATATATGTAAAAGAGAGAGCATGCGCCTGGCGAGAATTCATAATTTTGTTTTTAATTATTGTTGCAAATTAAAGTAGAGTAATGCATAGTGGGTAAAAAGTTCCTCCAGGATAAAACTAACTACTGCAGATGTCATTTCTGTCTAAGAAAAATGCCAAAGACTCTACCTAACTTACATCATTAAGGAGCAAGCACACCATGCAATGATTTCATTTAACTTTATAATAGTTTACTGAACTGGATGACATTGGTCAAATAATTTCTTTTATTTCCATTTTTGTTAGATTCTAATGACCTTCTTTGGCCTATCCTTCCATTGTCCAAAATATATGATCGTAACACGAACAGATGCAAGCTACTTTTTTAATGGAGCTATGTTTGGTGGACGTAGTAGCTAGTAGACATTTCTTGTCTTTTTTTGTGGTTGGTGAATGATGCTACAAAGAAACGAATTATCAAATTTCTGCTTCTATAATGAGGCTATGGCAGTATAGTTTAGTGATCGACCTGCTTTATGTCATATTTGAATTTGAATATGTCATCAAATTTTGTAGAAATGTTCCATGCAATCCTTTACTCAAAAATAAAAATAAGATAACATTTTTTTGATGACTGATCATGAACTTTTCCTGTTTATTAGACTAATGTAGTTAAGGTTTCCAATGCTTCATTAGCATGCTGGTTTATATAAGTATTTTATTCTTTAGATAAACAACAAACTAACTCTAACAACGGGCTTTGTTTTCAATATGGTACCTATAGGTTTGTTCCTGAAAAATTCGAGGAGATTTTTCAGAAGCATGCTCATACTTACCCTACTGCACTAACATCGGACGAGTTGGATGAGATGCTCAAGGCAAATCGTGTTCCTGGCGATAAGCAAGGATCGTAAGTTCCAAGAGTTACTTGATACTGAGAATATAGTGATTAACTAATTCTTAATCATGTTATATCAAGAGGAACTTCATGTACTCGGGGAGCCTTAATTGGTCACCCATTTCTCAATGAATTTCATACTAATTTTATGGGAATGAGAACCCGTTTTAGTATCCTTACTAACGGGGTAAATTGCAGATAACCCCCTTATTTACACCTTCAATAGCAGTTATCACCTCTTAACTTGTCTGTTACATTTGCCATGTATCCTTTCTCAAAAAGCCAATCCAAGAGGGGAAACTGCTAATGAAAGAGCAGAGGGGTGATAAATGCTACTCAAAATGTAGATGGAAGGGGGTTATCTGCAATTCACCGTTTCTAGTATGGTGAAACATCTTTAAAATTTTTCCGTCATATGAGCAGGCTCGCAGCTTGGACAGAGTGGAAGATCCTGTACTCTCTTTGCAAGGACAAGGATGGATTGCTTCAAAAGGACACCGTTAGAGCTGTCTATGATGGAAGTTTGTTTGTGAAAATGGAGGAGGAGGTATCTTCTTCTAAAAAGAAAGCTTGATTGATTTTTAATTTGCTGAGGTTGATGGTCTTAACTACTGCTGAAGGTGCTTGCTTGTTTGTAATTGGTGTGGCTTGAATCTGAGTGTTGATTGATCATAGGTGTACATCAAAGTGTAAGATGCAACTATATGCCTGTTTTCATACAGTGGGAAATAAAATTGAGAAAATATAGCCATGAATTATTTGATGATCGAGTTTTATGCTATTTGTTTATATCACTATGATGAGGTCATACTGTTAACTTATTGTTTTATCAGCAACTGAAATAACATATGTGAACCAATTCATAGTTTGTTGTTAACTTGTTGCTCTTATTATTATTATTATTATTATTTCCTTCTCTTTTCGAATGGATGGTTTCATAACTGCCACCCTCATTGGAGGTGTTCCTAGAACTTGTTTCCCCCACTTTCAGGCAACTACATTTTGTTTACTCTAGTTCTATGTGATTGTATTCGGAATTATTTTCTGATCATTTTTGCGTAATATGCCTATTATTTTTTCCCAAATCCAATGTTATCGCCTTTCAGAATGCGGAAATCGAGTCTCCTTTGGAGGTTTCCTGCAATCTTATTTCCTGGAACTAAAGCTATGGGCATACATATCCTCGTGTATGGCCAGAATTCACAAGGTACAGGGAATGGAACTCGATCCACATATTGGCTTTGCCTTCACTTTCGCCCCTTTCACCCCTCAACTTTCAGCTAAGAAACTGCCCTGCAAGTTAGAAACCATGCAAAAATAAATCAATGCGAGACTCGCGAGCACACGTTTGGAGAACATAATTCGTCCATATAAAATATGTGGTTCTTCTTCCTCTAGGACCATTTGTTTCGTCTCATTTCGATTTCGATTAGAGGAACAATATCCAGACTTCCGGTATTCTGTCGTTAGGATGTATTGACATTGCATTCTTCCTGTCTTGCAGATTCAGGGAAGTTTTTGGCTTGAACCCGAGACGAAACTTTCCTTTTCTTCTGCATAAGTTCTTCGAACGGTTTTCGGACAAATGATTGAGCGTGCGTGGTTTCAATTTCATTGTTGATTTCTGATTCAGTAGCAATGATTGTTGATTGAATTCTTACTTGGAAGTCTCTGGTCAGGTGAAAGTAGGGAACTTTGAACTGAGGTCCGAGTCCTCCTAGTAAAAGAATTTTATTTCACCGTCTTCTTTGATTTTAAAACGATTCGTCGAATTATGTTTTTTTTTTTCTTTCAAATTCCTCTTGAACCGACGGCCATTCAATTTTGTTCCGTTCCTGTTAAAAAAAAAAAACTAGAAGATTTAGAACATGAAAAGACATTAATTATTCCTTAGGACACAATGCAAAAAGCCAACAAAAGCTTAGTCCCGGAAAAGCAAAAAATAGTGCCCACTCTTCACGTGGCATTGTACAAAAGGTTACAGCCTGAAGTTTGATTCTCCTTCGAAATCTTTTGAGATCCAGAGACCCTACCTTTTCTTCAATCCAATACCAAAAAAAAAAAAAAAAAAAAAAAATAGTCTGTCGAATACAGACCTGCGAGACTCAGACCTACAACAACGACATTCGGAGAGGACTGTTGAAATGATCCGCTCACAATGACATGAATGAGCTGCTCGTTGCATTGGTTTTTCTCTGGAGAATAACTCTCGTAAATCAGAGACCCGAGGATAATTCTTCATCGGGGATGAAACCCCCTGTCCTTGGATGGGCGAAATTGGTTCTTGTTGGACTTGACGGACCCTATCGCATTCAGGAATCGAGGTGCGAGGGTCGCGTCTTGATTTATAAACACTAGGCCTTGGCCTGCATTTAGTTGACGGAACAAACCCCTTAGGGTCTTGTTTTGTTTGGACGCACTCGTGAGGTGCTTGTTTTCCCTTAACAGGGCTGTGTTTCCAAAAAAAAAAAAAAAAAAAAAAAATTATATACTTCAAGAATATCCCAGAATTTCCTATTTTTCCATTTTTATCATGCAAGGCATCATTCTGAACGTTACTACGTACATTATGCCACCAAGCGAGAATTCGAAAATTGGATGTGCGTGTCACGCCATCGCCCGAAGAGATGGCGAAGGATACCAACAGAGAAAATTTGACATGAAGGTAGGTCGGAGAAAATAATTCAGAGCCTTTGTAAAGTTAGTTTTCTAAGAAATCCCCGGACAACAAGAAAGCAAGAAAAGAAAAAGAAAAAAAAAACCTTGAAAAAAGAGTTAGAAAGGTTTCGATTCTTGCTCTCATTTTGCTTAGATGGAATTTTGACAAGATTGACAACTCTTGCGATGCTCGATACAATACATTATCTAATGCTAAATAATGAAAACTAAGGCTATTTGCCAGCCAAACAAATAATTTGTCGTTCAGAAAACTGCATTATAGAGAAAACACACTTCTAAAAAGTCTAGTACCGTGGTAGTTCTCACTATTTTGTCGTCCTTTAAATAGAAAATGACATTCTAACTATCAACAAGTATGTGCCGAGCATTTTGTTAACCAACTAGGAATCAAAATTTAATGGGCGTAGTTGTTACTTTGGAGCTTTCGAATGGGAAGCCAACTTGAAGTGAGTTTCTCCAGTTTTCAAGGGGAAAAAATACTGGAGGGCAGGACTAATTAGGGAGGAAAAATCATTCTCGAAATTTGGTAAATAGTTTTAGCAAAATTAAAACTGTGAGGGAAAAGGGTGGTGCTACAGGGACCCAAAAACATGGGACCCTACATGGGACACGTGAGGTGTCGGTTCCATGTCCCATGATGCACTGTTCATGACATGGAACCGACACCTCACGTGTACCATGTAAAGTCCCATATTTTTGAGTCCCTAAGTCATTTTCCTTCTAAATATATTGATGTACTGATCACTCAAAACCTGCGACTTGTTTCATCATGAAGCTTCTCTCACCCATGCATGGGTCAGTTACATCTTGCTTACTCTTGGGCATAGTTTTAGAACGTCATGTACTAGAGCAGTTGCACATATCTTCAAGTTATTCCCGTTGGGGTTAGATGGACGCTGACCAAAAAAACAACCATCAAAAAGTTTCGTAAAATAGATAGAGACCTACACTTGAAAGTAAGACCACTTAAATCCCCTCTCTATAACTAACTTGAAGTAGCTAGTAACAAAAGACTCTATTGTAAGTTTTTCACAATAGTCTCTTGAACCTTTCATATCTTGCAGGTGGCCCCTCGAGCCATTGAAATTGCCATTAGGTCCCCAATTTCTCGTAAGTTGTCCCAAATAAACCCCTCTGAGCCTCTCAAGTCATTGATTTGAGGGACTGATCCAGAATAACTTACGGTTTGAGGGAGTGATTCGAGATGTGAAAGATTTAAGGGGCTAATGTCAAGGGGAAGAAAAAAAAAAAGAACTTATTATAAGAATGATCCGCATCCTAGCCTTTCTCTCAACCTCCCCTCTCATTATTAACACAAGCAGTAAGCGCTCAAAATTAAACTCCCACCGCCACAGTCATCCCTCGTAACCGAAATGGCCAGGCTCACCTCCTCTCCTCCTCTCTCCTTCCTCCTCCTCACACCACGCCGCCCTCCGCCGCCTCCTCGCCGACGCCAAGCTCCCTCGTCTACGCCGGCTGGCTCCCAGGCCAAATACGACTCGGGCTCCGCCTAACCAATTCAAACGGTCGACTCCTCCTTTCCTCCCGTCGGCGGACTCGCCTCCTCTCCCTACGGGAGTTCACTCCAACAGCGCCTCCCCCTTCGTCCACCGTCTACGGGGGCGCTCTACCAGTGCCGCGGCGACCTGGACACGCCGTCCTTGCCGTCCTGCGTTGCGCGCCGCCCTGTCCAGCTCTTCGCCGCTTCTGCCCGTCTTCGTCGCCGCCGCCGTCCAGCTCTCCGGCTGCTTCCTACGCTATGACAACGAATCCTTTATTGGAAAGGAGGAAACTAATCTCCTCTACAAGAAGTGTGGGGCCACTAACGGGTATATATATTAATGTAGTTAATAACCATACGCGAATTAATCTACACTTGACCATTTTCACTGTGCGCACGATAATTTTCTATTTTTGAATATTATGTTGCTCTTTCTAATAATTTCTGATCAGATATGATCCCAATTTGATCGGAATGCGGGACGACGCGCTGTCAGCCATCGCGTCGTCGGGGGGCACCGGTGGCACATACCGAGTCAGTGCATCGGGCTACGTGCAGGCGGCGGCGCAGTGCGTCGGAGACTTGAGCGCAAAGGATTGCTCCGACTGCATATCCACCGCTATCAACCAACTCAAGAGCGTCTGCGGTGACGCCGTCTCCGGCGAGGTGTACCTCGGAAAATGCTTTGCCAAGTACTACACCGGCGGCGCCTTTGCCTCTTCTACTTCAACGTCGACGCCGTCGTCTTCGGGGTATTATGACCATCGCGACGGTAAGTCTGTTTCTGATCGCCGGTGGTGGTTGTTTTTTCTCGTCTGTTTGATGTTTTGATGGGTAGTGTAGATTATAGCAAATTGAGTTTAAGTGTGTGGTTTGAGGACTTTAGGATCTTGCTTGTGATTTTTTTTTTTTTTGTGGTATTAATTATGAGTCTACGTTTGTGTGGTTTTGAGGATTTTTCTTGATTTGTTTGCATGTGCATTCATTAATGTTGTTATTATATATATCAGAAATAATGCAGAAGGATGGGTTTTCTTTCAAGGACGTGTGGTTTTTGCAATTGTCCATTAATTGAGAGGTTATTTATTCTTAAAACAGATATAATTTGTTTTACAGAAAAAAACTTAATGAAAACAATTAATAACAATTTTCACTAGCTACTTGTTATAGAAATATCCAACAATGAAATTAGATAGACGGTAAAATTGAGAAATGGGAGATCCAGATTCAAAAATTAGTCTACAAACTCGCTGTAGGAAAAGAAGAGGAGGAGGATTTATGAAAATATTTCAATTTTGAAATTAACATTTATGATGAATTAATTGGCTTAAAAAGCTAAGGTTAAAAAGATTAGCTCCAAATGCATCCATGCACCTAATCTCTTAGTAAGAGACACATCCAAAATCCATGTAAAAAATGTTTTTTTTAATATATTTTAGTTAAATAACTGAATAGTAGATAGAATCAAAGAGCATACCTCTCCTTGAGATGAAGTAGATATCAGTTTTGATCACTGAGCTAAGCAAGCAGTTGGATATGCATTGACTCATTAATTGATGATGATGGGGCTAATTGCATACAATTAATTTACATGTGTCCTCCTAAAGGACATTGTATAATTCATTTAATTGAATTGGCTATAATTTATTGACCAAAGAGGAAAAAATGGTCACCAGTATGTTGTAGATGGGACATTTGATTTGACGTAAAAAAACAAAATAAAATATGTTTTCAGTCCTAACCTAAAGAAAACGACCTATATATATGTAATTTCTTTCACATTCATTTTTCTTTGTTATACCTATTTCTCATTTGTGAAAGACTTTAATCCGACTACCGTCTATAATTGACTGTTAGTTTTATTAAAATTTTATGAATTAAAGTATGATACACATTTATCACTTATTTTAATCTCTTTTCATTTTTTTTTGATTTGGCTTTCTAATACTGACAAGGTTCATACTTAAATGCACTTGGACGCTTATAGACACTGATTGGTGAACAGCTTGCTATTCCACATTGGCGTTGAACCTACTTTTTCTTTCTTGGTCCCAAAAGAATATGCAAACAAGAATTTTTGAGAAACTTTCCCATATATTTTAAAGTGAAAAAGTGGCGATTTTTTTTTTGTAGCTTTTCTTGCCACAAACACTTTGTGATTCCTTTGGATCCTCAATACTAATCGCTTTTGAATTGTAATAACCCATTTTGATAAGCCTATTTTTATGAGACCCCCCTGTCTAAGTGAGTCTTTTTATGCATATAACTTTATTTCACTTTCAACTTTTCCGTGAACAACTTTCCCCCCCTCTTGATCCTTTTCAATTTGCTATGCTACATTTGTTTTCATTGAATTTAGTGAAATCTTTTATAAAACCCTGTGCGCTATAGTTGCATTACACAATATAGTCCGTGTTAGAATTTTGTCAAAAAAAAAAAAAAATTCAAGTACATCCAGTTCGTTGCATGATGGTGATCAGAGGGATAAAACTATCAAAAGTTTGATATCTCTTTAGTAATATCAATCAAAATGTGTAGTTATTGAATTATTCTTTTCTCTGCAGAGAGCACTGAAGAAGCAGGGAAGACACTAGCAATTATACTTGGCCTTATTGCTGGGGTTGCCCTAATAATTGTTTTTGCGTCCTTCATTAGAAGAGCTGGAAGCAGTGAGTTTAAAGATATACGCTCGTTTACGTACAACCAATTTTCTTCACATATATGACATTATCATTTTCATTTTTAATTTCAACTTTTTTGCAGATAAACTTTAGTGGCTTTGCTCTCAAGGGTGGGTGGCAAATTGGCAGAAGAGGACTTTGTTTCTATCTTACTTTGAACTCCACCTTTTGGCTTTTTAGGAATCCTTTTTTCATAATTTTTCAGAAAGATAAGGGGTACCTTTAACAAAGGTAGGATAAGTAAAGCAAGTCACC